TATTTAAATAGCACTTGAAAATGTTCGCGTATTAACGATAGATTCAGACGTCTCATAAATGAATTACGTACACACTTAAACTGATCTTTCGCTTTTGTCTCCCAAACACAAAAAGGGCACAACATAAACGACAATTGACTTTTTTGGAAAGCAAACACATACTATAGCAGAGAATGAAACGTTCTGGTAAAAACTGCTTCAAATCGATACTTTAATCCACGCAATACCCCGACTTTACATGTCAGACAAGAAGTTAAACGTTTATATAGGCCTATTTTGATAAGCATGATGAGTTGCGTTTAAAGTATGAAATATTGAATAACAACAACTTCACAAGAAACAGCTGCAATGGGTTTACATTCATAAATAAACAATGTTAGCAAGGGAGACACGAATTGATCACATTAGTTCACATTCTCATTTAATCATATTACAAGGGTTTATCTAGAGAAATTTTAATCACGTTTACCTTATATATGTATATATAAAAAAAATGCTGGGTTGTTTCAACCCAACTTTGGGTCAAATATGGACTAACCCAACCGTTGGGTAAAATTTTTTACATTCAATTTTTAACCCAGTTAAAAATTTAGTCCATATTTGACCCAAAGTTGGGTTGAAACAACCCAGCATTTTTTAGAGTATATATATATATATATATATATATATATATATATATATATATATATATATATTATTATTTTATTTTTTTATTATTTTTTTTTTTTCTCAGTGGTAACTTTAGCAAAAGTCTATTATTTGTCTATTTTTTGAGTTGTAAAAGCCTTATTTGTGATTTGTGACCCTGTCTGTGAAATCCCAGCTAAAGTCATTTTGGGGGGTGATTTACTGTTTTCTATATAAAATCATCCTTCATAAGTTAAAGAACATTCTGTGAAAATGTAACATTGATATCTTTATTACTGGCTGAGTAAGACCATGTCAAAGATTGAAATAATAGTGAAATGAATGGTTAAAAAAATCAAACTTTGATGCTTGTTATCTCATAAATAGATTTTGAGACTTTATCCTGGATTTCACAGAGAGGGTCACATTTTGCTTATGTTCTTATGAGTAAAAGAGCTTAGACAATTTTATACATTTTAAATTTTATACCTGTAACCCTTTCACTAAAATGCTTCAAAACACTGGCAACTGAAAAAGACTGAAATTTCAAAGCATTCTTATGTAGACTATTTAAGCTCAGAAAATAGAAACATTTTAAATATCACACACATGCACGCACGCACACACACATTTCATAAACAAATAAATACAAGTATTATACATAAATGACCAAGTTTAACAGGAAGTGATTTTGAAGTCTTGTGAACAACCACATCTTGAGAATGACAAGTGAAGCACAATACGTTGACTGACATGCTGTACACTTGCAACCCTCATGTTTACAGCAATACAATCAATCTGATGATGACAAATCTGTTTTCCAAAACATGTAGATAAGCACAGATTCTGAAAGCAGAAATGTTTTTAAAGAAATGAAAAAAACCAACACACAAACACACACATACACAGACCAATGTAAATAAAACATTACAAACATATTCTGTAGACAGGGAGGGTTGCTGGTTGATAGTTCAGAGGATTTTTGTTTCATTTATAAATTTTTTTTGGTCTGATGTGACCTAGCAAAAACAGCAAAGCAGAGGAAAGCTGCACGTTTTCTGATGATCATGATTGGAAGAGTGTTGCTCAGCTAATACCTGCACTAATCCTTATTTAAGCTACAATCTGCTGCGCTACATGACATAAAGAGCAACTAAAATGAATACAATTCCATCCTGAATAGATCAAACAGTGTTATTTTCAATAGACCACAGTTCAGATTAATTCGTATTCATATTAAAATGACAAATATCTGGTACAGGTTCTCGGCTGCACACATTCATTTTACAAGGTCTATTTCTTTAAAATCCACACGGGTTTAGAAACACCTTAAACATGAAGCTTTACCTTGCTTTTGAGTGATTATTATTATTCTCTTATATCATTTTCTCTAACGATTCAAATATGTTTAATACATTTATATACGCATCGTAACTGTATTTTCATGTTTGTAGAATCTATCGATTCTCCAAATTGATTTTCTTTATTTTAAGAGTTTGCTCTGAAGTACTTCCCACTAAAATAAATAAAATGCTAACAGCAAAATCATTTAATGAGCTTTTTTTTTTTTTTTTGAAGAGACAACCCTAGACTATTTAAATAGATAAAATCGTTGGTTTGTAACAGAGCTGATGTGTTTTTATGTGTGTATGTGATTTCACTAAACCCCATTGCCTTCCTTTGACTGCAAGAATGCAGCACACATGTGGTTTTACTTCTGCAAAACTAATGCATAAACATCAGAAAAATATCAGAATGACCTTTACCACATCTGTTTTCTCTTTTGTCCCCCAAAATGGATCTATTACTATGTAAAGTTATGCATATGAAAATATAAGTGTGCGCTCTTATGCTGTGAGCCTCACCTGCTGTACGAGTGAAACAGAGAAATGCGCCCTTCGAGTTGCTGTATTTGACTGAAGTATGGCTCCGAAGCGTCGTTATTAAAGCCAGGTGTAAGGGGATGGGGGGGGGGGGTGCGTTCCAATTGCATGCTTCTCCTTGCATGGCCTTTTCAACTCGTTCTTTAACAGTTCTAGGATGTGCATTGCATTTCAGGGTCATTGACTGTGAGGACGGTCAACAAATGAAATAATGGTAAGTGCATTGTTGCAAATGGCATGCATGCGCCTTTGTTCTGTGGATCACTGCTCTGGTTGCAGCATGGCTACAGTCGGTCTTTCTGATTGAGGCCAAATTGAGAGAAAAAAGACGAAAATCTGCACTTTTTCTTTTTGATGCAAGCTAGAATTACAGTGAGAAAACATGTGCAGTCATTGGCTGAGCAGGCCGGCCTGCCCATGGCATGAGGGAATCTTTCTCCAGTGTGCCCCGATGAGGGGCATGTAGCAGTGCAAATCCAATGGAAATTGGCCAAAAGTTGTATATACAAGAACAAATAATCTGCTTTACTTTCCTGCTCGGCTCTGCGTAATCGTCTTCCACAACAGCCATTGCTTAAGTTGTACTCGTGATAATGTTTACGCGATCATTTCCTCAGCGACTCCGTGTCCGTGCGATCCAGGAATCCGGTTCCAGGGTTTAAGCGCAGCCCCTCTCTCACATCTCAGCTCGGCTCGCACAGAGAGAAAAATCCTCAGCCGCGGGCCGCGCTCTCTCCGGCTGGAACGGGACTCAGCAACCCCGAAGAAGACGCGCAAAGGACTGAAATAAATAAAGAGGACTGCTTTTGCTTGTTGATTTTTCTCGCGTTGTTCTTTTGCTCTTTTTTTTATTAGTTGCCTTGCGAACTGCTCCGCGCCCCCCCCCCCCCTCTCTATCTCCTCCAGCAGGACAGACGGACTCTTTCACCGTTCGCGCATCTCTTCATCCCTGCGCGGCGGAGCGCAGGACTGAGCGCCGGTCTGCGGGAATGTGAGCGCTCACGCTGAGAAAAAGGCTCGGATGAGCGGAGCATGAGTGCGTTGTGCGCTGAGACGCGCTGCTCCTGTTCGAAGACCTGCTTGTAATTGCCTCAACTGATTAATTAACTTTCCGTCTGAAAACTATCCGCTCACTCACAAAAGGTAAGACGCTTTTTGTTAATGATCATAATGCGCTTATACGCAGGTAAATCATGTTGCTGTGAAGTGGGTGATTAACAAGTTGCTCAAACTTTTCGTGCAAAAAATAGTTAGGAGAAAATAATGATCAGGGTCATAGTGTGAAATAATAACGATAGAGCGAAGTTTGTCTTTTAAATATGCATTACATTTCATAACTAGTATGGAACAGAAAGAGTAGAGTTAAGCTCCAGTTAGATGACTCTAAAAGAACAAAACTACTCAGAGTAATTAAAATGATGGAAAGGGGGACCATGGCTAATTGAGAAATGGTTAATCAAAACGCAACCAGATGTGGATTGATTTGGTCGGCTGCCATTTCTCTCTTTGTCTTTTAGTCTTTCTTTCTTTCTCTCTCTCTTGGAATGGAAACTGTAAGTGTGGGAATGAGGGGTCTTCAAATAAATCCCGTAGATATATTTCATTCCACTGGAAATTCTTTAAAGGTGTCGGGGAAGTCTGCACACTTTAATTTATTGTCATTGCCTTTTGCTTCCTACAACAAGCGTGTGGTGACCTACATCAACTGTTGAACTCACTAAAGCTTGACTGGGGTTGTTAAACTGAGGTCTTGTGTCTATAATTAAAAGCAATTCCAGGCTCTTTTTTAACTCCTCAGCATGATTCATGTGAAAAGAATGGTTCAGGGTGCACAGACAGCAGTGATCGAGTGCTAACTAGGGGACTGTGAGAACCCAGTGCAGTTGAAATGGTCTGAACCTGGCTTTCTCTAAATGCAACATCGGACACTTGTGAGCAGCCACTGTAAAATTAGATCCTTTAACCCCACATTCATAATTAATCCGCACCCAGGCCCCTGGTGCCAACAGTGAGATGAGCAGAATCCGGTCGGTGGCACTTCTTTGCCCAAACACACTCTGAACTGCTGTGAAAAGAAGATCTTGCCTGGGCAAACTTTGCATTAGTATGCATGTTACATTGTAATTACATGGTAGTAATAATGTAATTAATGTGTTATAATTATTTGCGGCACTCATAATTATGCATTATTATTGTTATGACTGTAGTAATTAAATATAATAGCATATCATATTTGCAGCTGGACACTGTAATTTGAAATGTTACCAAAACACTGAGCAAATCACAAATGCTTTCGAGTAAACACCACTTAAGAGCCCGTAATAAGAGTCAATGCGTGAGCGCGGTGTTGTTTGAAATGTGGTGCATGGCGTGAGAGATGCTAAAAAAACTGTGAAACATATCGAGTCACCTGAATCGGAGCGGTCTGGACCTACATATGCAGTTTATATTGAAGGGAGCTGTAATTTCTATTTGATTTTTTTTTTTCATTCTGCTTAATCTAAGATTTTAAAATTGTGCTTAATGGCATGCTTCCATTTTTGCATTAATAACATTGAAAAAAAAAAAAAAAAAAAAAAAAAAAATATATATATATATATATATATATAATACAGTGTTTATATATAATTAAAAAATAGGCTTATATTTGATCTCATAAACCTACAAATGATTTAAAATCACCAATATGGTTTTAAAGTGCATAACAATTTCTCCGAAGTAGAACTTTTGGTGTAGATGCGGCGTTTTACCATATGGCGTGTGGTTTTTGGTCTGAATTTTTGCATGTCACCATTAGTGCTTCAAATAGATATTATCTGACCAAAAACATTTTTTTGGAATTTGTATAAGTGTGAATGGACTCTGTTTGAAGCCGCACCATTAGCATTTCAAAGTGGCCTGAGCTCTATTTGAGCCCTGTGCTCTATTAGCTTCAGCACAGGCCTGGAGAACAGGAGGGGTGAGAGGGGACCAGGGCTTGTAGTTCATTTCTCCTCGTCTTTGTGTTTGTGTGTGAAAACACTATCCCATCCTTTTCATTTCAAAAGAATATTTTCCTTGGCTCTGTTTCTTTCTGGCCCCCTTCCTGCATCAGAGAAATGAAAACAGCCAAACATGAGCAGGATTATGAGATCCACCAGAGAACTTGCTTAGGTATTTTCACTCAGAGCCGGAAAAAAAAAGAGTGTTTTTCTACATTTCCAGTAATGCAGGGATGAACGGATGTCATAAACACCTACACACACGTTCTGCTCACAAGTAACTTATGAGAGTTAGTCTCATACATATAACTGATTATTCATGATTTGCTTCGTCTAAATAGTGCAGACATTGTCTCCTAAATATAATGTGAATTTTATTAATATTATTATTTTTTTTTAAGTCAGCCTTGAAAGTCGCAGTTTTAGAGCATAACCGAATACCGATTTGTTTTTAATTGAATTTTGTCAGCGAGATGTCCTCGACCAGTTTTTGCTCCGTATTAATGTGCTTATATAGTCTCTTCAGTTCTCATAATATTCAGCATTTTTTATTTATTGGTTGATAGGTTTTTTTGCGATCTGGAAAATATGATTTCTGATTTCAATATTATCGCCATGTGGTCAATATCAGACATGTGGAGAACATTTGGCATAGTATGAGCAATAAAATGTGTCAAATATGAACCTTTTATCACTTCAAACGAAGTCAAACAGAGTCTTTTTAAATCACAGTTGAGCCCTAAATAATGAACAAGCCAAATTGTGGAATAACTTTTATTAGAGCCGTAATACACAGTATTTTGTGTGTGTGTGTGTGTGTGTGTGTGTGTTTTGCACAACAGTGTATAATGCCACTGACAACCATTGTTCTCTGAACAACAAATACAACATCACGTAGCATGTCTATGAAACTATGGTTTCTGAATAGTCTTTAGAACAGTGATTTAATACTTTAAAAAATAAATAAATAAATAAACATGCTTGATGACTTTGACAGCAACAAGGGAACCACTTCAGCATTGACTTTCGCTCCGTAAGGCGATGCTGTTACAGGATACAGGGCCATACGCTGTGGTTATAAGCGCAAAAAAACAAAAACACATTCGGTTTTGCAAGAATTTCAAATCAGATGATTTCTTTCCCCTGTTTTTGATTCAGTTGTGTGTTTACAGAGCATCCTGCTGTGCCGATAAACGCTCGCCAATTTGCGGGGAATAAACAGCCCTGTTACACTTGGAGTTTTATGTAAAGTGCTCAACTGCCTTTGGTGGGTCAAATACCTGCATTTTACGGTGGTTTTTATTTTACGATCAGTAATCAGAGGAAGGCAGGGCGCCTTCTCTGCCATTTTGTCAATGCGTTTGTTTCTGCTTGCGAAAGGTTTGTGTGACAGTGGGACGGCAGACTTTATACACAGGCTGCCATTTTAATCAGCTGCAGACTGTGGGCAGCACACACCCAGCCTCCAGAGTGTGTTCAGACAAGCAAGCAGTTTGATTTGTTTCTCCAATAAATCATTCAAAAATAAATCAATAAATAAATGACAATTAAAATATTTTTTTATAATAATAATAAAATCATAGAAAATGTATTTGGCTTTGTTTATAATTCTACAGTGTAAAATAGAACTAGAATAGGAATATAACGTGATGAATTGACTGCATGTTTCTGATCAGTTCTAAAAATTTAAATGAATACGAAGATAATAAACAAGTGAGTACAGTTAATGAAAGTTTTTGTTTTTCAGAAATAATTTTAACAATTATATACTTATATAATTATACAGATAGAAACAACGCTATTGTAATATATATATTTTTTTACTGTGTGGACAGGAATATTTTGGTATCGTGGATTACATCCATTTAGCGTTTATCTTATGCTCTGCCGTGTTTATTTTTATTTAAATGTAAATGAAGTCCACAGCATGATTGAGAGGAAGAGAGGGAGAGAGAGGGAGAGAGAGAGGGAGAGAGAGGGAGAGAGAGAGAGGAAGAGAGGGAGAGAGGGAGAGAGGGGTTTATTAGGCGTCTGGTGGTAGGAGAAGGGTTGTGTCTCGGCTGGTTTATAGGAGCACACTTGAAAGGGTTATTTTCAAGCAGACAAACCTGTTATTTCAGAATGCTGACGAGAGGTTGGCCTACAGTGTAATCTTTCTTTTGTAAGTTATTTACAAGAAAACGTCTTCAAATTTGGAAGATTATGGAAATGCACACTTCCAGAAGTCTTGTTTTTTAATTTTATGCATTACTTACTTTCACACATTATTTATTAACACTATTAAAAAAAGTATTATTATTACCACTGCTAATAATAATATTAATAATAATTCAATTACTATTAAACTTAATACTGTTTTACGTTGTATTGTTGTGGAAAATTATAGCAGTAATAGTCATTAAAGCTATTAAATAATGCAAATGGACATTTTTGAATTATATATAATAACCAAGAATGCTAAATAATAAATATGAATCTAACATTTTAGCTTTTTCAAAGTAGCCACCTTTTGTCTATATTACAGCTCAACCAGTAATGAAACAATATTGAAGGAGTTCTCATATGTGCCGAACACGTTTTCTTTGTTCTATCTAATCCATAAAAAAATGACAAAAATACAAATAAAATAATGAAATTCATATGTATGCCCAGTTTCAGTTAAATGTTGACTGGTAGTGAACATTCGTATCATAAAATGAAACAGAACAACAGTTAAGACGTTTCCTGCAGATTCCACTAATCCTTAGATAACTAATCTAATCTGGGGTCAACAGGAAGTTGTTTCCTAAAAACATTCCAAGGTCAGAGGTCAGCTTTATCTTGTGTGGTTCATGTGACAGTTTATCAGCCAATCATGAGAGTATAATCAGAAGCACTGTGTTTGCGAATCTCCTGACCTCATGTTGTAGATAATCTATATCTCTCCAAATGTTTAGAAACCACACCAGGTGCTGATTCAGCTGAAAAATTGAGTATGTATATGAAATTGTGTGACATGAAAATATCGTTTAGGTAAAGAAAATTTTAAGAGATCTGAACATTAAAAAAAAAAGGTCTTTAACACTTTGCAAAGCTTGATTTGAGAAGCTATTTGTACCGGATCTTATCCTTAAAAATGTTTTTTTTTTTTTTTTTTGGTGTAACCTAGTGTAGTCAGGCTGA